CCTCCCCCCCCCCCCCCCCCTTCCTCCTCCTCCTCCTCCACCCTGACATGAATGGTGTTGTGCAAGACGAGGCACGCCAATAAGACAGTTAGCTACTGCTGGTGTGGTGTGAATAATAGATTGGCTCGAGCCATGCAAACGACAGCATCGCGCCTTGGAGCTTCGCCAGCGTGAGCAACCACAAGCACACGACAAACGAGAGAGGACACTTTCCTCGTTCATCAGAGACTCCAAACACCATCACCACGCTACAAACATCAAACGCCTCAATAATAACCATTAAACGTTGCCATGTGGAATGCACATGGTATAACAGAAGGGCTCATCTGTCGCTCGTACATATCGTCATCTCTTGGTCGACTCGCATGCATACAACCACAGGACCAACCACGCGGGGCCGTTTCTTGGGCAGCTGCTCGATAACCTAAAAGCCAACAAAGTACTCCGAAGTACCACACAAAGGCAGACAGGCCCAGCGTTCTAGGTGGTTGTTTTCTACCAACCACGCTTCAGCTGAGAATGATAAAACTATATCATACCACAACTATAGAAGGAACAATGCGAAAGGGCATTTGACGAACACCTTTGGGAACAAAACCACACCCTTTCGAAAACCACAAGTACACGTGACATCAGCAGCATCAGCAACAACACTCGAACCCAACACAACAGACAGTAGAGCCAAGAGGGCAGGCTACCAACAACACGAACGACACCCACCATGATCATGCGCTTCAGCAGAGCGCCCTTCTCGGCAGCCGTCAAAGCCGCCGCCGGGGGCGCGTCCCCTCCTCCCTCTCTCCCCCCACCACCGCCACCGCCACCGTTTACCACGTTGGCAGTAGGCTTCTTGTCGACTTTTCCCCAAGGAGTTGCGGCGGGTTTGGTGCCGGGTGAGAATATCTTAGCGTTTCCTTTCCCCCGCGTTGCCTGTGGTGGGATTTCCGGTACACAAACGAGGCGTTTTTTTTTTTTTTTCGTCACTTAATGTACACAATGTCAGGCATAAATGAATCGAATCGGGAGGGCGGGGGTATCGTGGCAATAATGTATTGTGTCTTGTTCTAGCAAAAACGAAATAAGACCATCTCGTACGCACATCCGAGTAGAGTCCAATGCTACTCTTGATTTTGCCTCGGTGGGGTGGTCGTCTCTCGAAACATGAAAGATTAACTCTGCCGACGGTCCAAAAATACAAAAATCGAACTGCGGAGGAGGATAGCGGATGCGTTACTCTCAAAAGAAAATAGCTGAGTTCCCAGGGTTTCCCGTACAGGTGACGACAAAAGGGAGGGGAAGGGCGTAATACCTTGAGCAGGTAGGGTACCGTGTGCAAGATCAATAGAATGGCACACACAGGTATCGGCCCCCGCCCCTCGATCAAGCAAAACCAGTAGAGCTCATGGGTAAGAGAGACAGTTGAGCATGTACAGCATGTACGGCACCATGTAGGAAACCATGCGACAACACCAGATAACACAGGCGTTGGTGGAGGGTGGTTGATTGCAATGATTGGTTGGGCTACTCTTCGCTGTACATGAGTAAATGGGGCAGAGCTGGCTGCTAGAAACATGAGGTAAACACATGACAACACGGCGACAGCGTTAACTCCCAAGACCAGCAACAACACAAGAAGCAGCACGAACAATACTACGCCCAAGAATCTCACAGAACCTTCCAATACAGACACACAGCCCAACGCACAGTCCGAACCGGAACGCCTAGACCCCACGTCCTCTCTCGCCCTCTTCCCTGGCCTCCTTTCGCCTCACTCACCTCCGTGAACTTGTCGATCGTGGAGATGCTGTTCCCGGGGGCCATGAAGGAGAATAGACCCCCCCCAGGAAACCCCCCTCCCCCCCCTCCAGCCGGGGCGCCCCCGCCACCCCCCCCTCCCCCGGTCTCCGCGGTGCCAGTGCCTCCTTTCTGACCCCCACTATCACCTCCACCGCCGCCGGCGGCGGCAGCGGCAGCTCCGGCTCCGGCACCGAAGACCCTATCAAGCACGGACTGGTTCTTGACTAGTTGTGGTTGGTCCTGGCTGCCGCTACCGCTACCGCCCTTGGGAGGGGGGGGGGAGGGAGGCTGGTCGTCTTCGATGCCGCCCAGAAGACCGTTGTCGTCGTTGTCGTCTCCGATGCCCCCGCCCAGGAAGCCACCCCCCATGTCGGGGAATTCGGCGGGGCCCCCGTTGGCTTTGCCCCTGCACAAGTTCGACGTCATCAATGGG